GAGGTGAGGCATGTGATTCATGGATTCAATGAACCATCTCAGCAGTGGCCAGGAATAGAGATACGGTTACAAAAGAAAGGTCTGTGGAGGACCATCTTGTTTGATGTCTCACACTCCATGAATTACACAGCTAACAACAAGGCTTTTGAGAACTTTATACCAGCACCAAAGAAGACATATGGGACAAACTGAAGAAAGATTATTAGACTTCTGAGATTATACAGGCAGGAAAGGGGCCAATAGATACATTCAGCTGCAAACATGCATCGTTCTTCAATGAAAGGGAAGAAGGACCACAAAATTGGTTCATAGGTTGGCTAGAGGCACAGTCCTAGGGGATGGAGTTTTCTCCTCCTTAGTTCCAGAGAGGGATGCCACCTCCTGGGTGCAGAGTTAAGACCATCTTTCCAATTTCAGAGGGATGAGTTGCAGAATATTGGGCCAGGGACAGAGGCCACCATCCTTAGGGCAGAGAGATTCTGGTCCACACTGGTGGGCTCGGAAGACAGAACATTGAGCCTAAAAGGATGACTTTTTCAATCATTACAAACTAAGAAATTTGCCCTACTGGGTTTTGAACTCCTTCAGGCACTGAGACACATTTTTTCCAATTATATCCCTTTGAATTGGTAATGGCTATCCCATGACTATCCCACTATTGTAATATAGAAGCAGATAACTTGTGTGGGTCACAACTTCATAGATGAAGAGGAGTTTCGCTTCAGCTTGAATCATATCTGGAATCTCACCCATACCTGATTTATAGGATATATAGATGAGATTTTGGACTTAGGGTTGATCCTGGAAAGGGTTATGACTTTGAAGATTCTGAGATGGGGTGAAAGTACTTTAGATGTGAGGACATGAATTTGGGGAGGTCAGAGAGCTGACAATTATGGATTAAAATGTGTCCTCCTAAAATTCATGTGTTGAAGTCCTGACCCCCAGTATTTCAGAATATGACCTTATTTGGAGATAGTCTGTACAGAGGTAAATATGTTAAAATGAAGTCATTAGGTTAGGCCCTAATCCGATATGACTTGTGTCCTTATAAAAAGAGAAAGTTTGGACACAGAGACATGCACAGAGGGAAGGCTATGGGAAAGGACATCTTAAAGGCAAAGGGAGAGGCCTGGAACAGCTCCTTCCCTCACATCTATCTCTGTGAAGGAACCAACTCAGCTGACACCTTGATTTTGGCCCTGAAATCCCCAAAACTGTGAGACAATAAAGTATATATTGTTTAAGGCACTCAGTCTCTGTCACTGTGGACAGCAGCACTAGAAAGCTAATATAATATTCTAAAATCATCATTTGTAATAACACACAACCAAACAAACAGCAGGCAAAGAATCACACTCATTGAATTATGTTTCCCCATCAATCTGCAAGGCTGAACAACCCAAAAAGGCTCTTGCTGGTGAATCCTGGGACATGTGATTACACTTTGGGCCTGTGGCTGTGGCTCCATGGTGCAGGTCTCTCACTGGCTGACTGAGAGCATGGTGAGGTTGAGCTGATCTTATTGGACACTCTCATCATCCCCATGATGCACAGACACAAGTCATGAAGAATTGTGTTTACAAAAGCAAATGGTTATGGCCTGGAAAGGAACAGAATCAGATAAATGTAAATAAGTTACAGTAATAACTGTAGTTTCCAGGGAGTCTGGAATTATTTCTTGAACTTTTTGTTTTGATTATTCCTGTACTGTGTTTAGGTCCTTGTTTATGTTTGTAAGTGAAATCCAAAATGCAGGTAATATTGAAAAGCTTGTTTGGAGTATGTTTATCCCATTAATACTATTTTCCTTTTATAGATGTGTATAATTTGTTATTTAAGTAGTAAAGCTGTTTCTCTTTGTTTTTTTCAGTAAACCAAACTAGTATTGCTAAATAGGTATCCCCTCTCCTCAATTACTCATTGAAGTGAATAATCATATTTGTTAGCTTCCCCTTATGATTTCCACATCAAACATTTTTCAGTTCTCCTTCCTAAAATCCATCTGTGTCAATCCCCTTGTCTTCCCAGGCTTCAATCCACAGTCCCATTTTGGTACATTTCAATGTTATTTCACTAATGGTCCTATTTGATTTCTGACTTTGGAAATGTAAAGCACCCATATGTTGACCTAAAAGTAAGAGGCTGAAGCACAAAATATGATTTAAAGAATTTACTTGAGCCAAAGTGAGGACAGCTGCCTGGAAGACTCAGATCCAAGTAACCTCAGATATGAGCTCCTTTTAGCCTTCGTTGTAAGTAAGTTTTTAAAGTCAAAAAAGGGGGACAGGCAGTGGACTGATGCAAAATTGTTTGTCAGGAATTCTCATTGCTTTACAGAAATAACATTGATTAGTGATGGACTATGTATTGTTAAGCTATTGAAAGTGGGTTATAGTGTCCCATGCTTCTTTATTAGGTTAATTTATAGATACTTGTGTCAATAACAAGCAGTTTCAAGAGATGAATGCATAGCTCATTAAGGGGGAGTAGGACATGATTGCTGTCTCATTTTAATGATACTCTGTGCCTGATAATTTAAAAGGACATGCATTCTTCAGATAAAAGTTCTTTTCTTTTCTTTTCTCACATACCACAATAAAATATCCTAATGGATTCAATTTCTTAAAATGACTGCTCACATAAGGAGAATGGTTGTATGTATGAGAACGAATGTGCATTAATAACTTTGGAAAGCATTTCAGTGTCAGATTGAGAAACACTATGTAAAAAAAAAGAAAATTTCAGGACCCTCCAAATTTATTATGCCAAGTGCGAAGCTAAGCCCTGGAGATTGAGTCACATAGCATGTTTGTAATTCTGCTTTGTAGATTATAGATTAACTGTCTTCCTCATTGTACTTCATCTGGAGAACTAGGAGAGACCAGAGACCAGACCTCCTCCATTCCAATCACTGATCTTTCTTATAGATTAACTGCCTCCTTTCTTGGCCTGTACCTAACTCATACCAGATGGCCCCCAAGACTCCATGACTGTTACATCTTCAGTGTGGAATGTTAAATATACCTTTCCCAAAAGAAAAAGACCACCTCCACAAATCAGATCATTGTAACTATGCATTAAGACATACATAGAACGATGTTGAAATTCTGTTAAGCCAACCTAAACTTTGTCTGTATAAATGATCCTGTACTTCTATACTTAAGAAGACTGACTTCCATTCCTTGGAATCTATGCTTCCTTGGTGGCCTGTTTTCAAACTTCACACTTTAATAAACTCTCTTTAAACTAGATTGTGAACCTATTGATTATTTTAGGTTGACAACTGGAATTTTGAAGCAGTATTGATAAGCATGATAAAAATTAAGTGGCTTAGTGAAATATATTTATTTTGAACTGCTCCACAGTTCTTTCTCTGAAAAGGCACATAGCACTAAAAAGAGCCTTTGGCTTCTAGAGTTTTGTTCTGGATATATATAACAATTTCAAAAAATCACCCAGGGATATATTTTTACAACTGAGTTTGTGGTAGTTTTTCTCTGTCCCTTGTGTATCAAGCAATTTTTTTCTAATACTTCCACAAGATATTTCTAATATTCCAATTAACAGTAAATAATAATCTTGATGAAGAACTTATTTGTGATACATCCTCTTTTTCTTGATCACCAGAGGAGGTCTGGAGTTGAAATTGCCTCCTTCCCACCTAGATACTAGAGAGGGAAAACCCTCTCTAGTATCCTGCCCTGCCCTGACTTTCCTCTTGAGCAAGGAGACATCTGTCAAAGGTGGAATGATCTTTGTTGGGGTTTCTCTGGGAATATTCCTTCCCACTTCTGATGGGCTAAAACAAAGTTTTCAGTTTTTTCCTTTATCCAGCTTTTGTCTTATTGGTTAACTGAGATTGATATAATTTCCAGGTTTCCTTTACATACTAATCAAAAGAGTTATGTACAACTTTTTGTAAGTTCAAATTGGACAATTAACAAAAATGATCAAATATTGTGCTTTTAGGAAAATCATAATAAATTTAAAGGCTTGAAACCCCAGATAATGTTCTCTCCCTACAGGTGTAGGAAGGTACAAATCAATTTAAAAGAAAATCAATATAAAAATCATCAGCTGCTTTGAAAATCAGTGCAGTACTTTTAGAAAGAAGTTTTACAAAGAGTCATTGGACTATAAAACACAACTGAATTTGGAACATATTAACATGAATAGTAACATTTATATGTTTGAGGAAGGAAGCATCATTTTAGATATATGAATTGTTAACCATTCTTCTTTTAATTAAATGCAAGGAGTAAGAAACATGTCCCACTTGGTGATTTAAAGATGTTCTAAATTAATATCTTTAAATCACCATAAAAAAACAAATAAGAAAACAAGAAACAACAGGCAAGGAATCACACCCTCATCCTGTCCAACTCTAGGCACAATATCATAGGAAGACTGTTATTGGTTAAACTCCAGCCACTCCTTCACACATTGGGCCAATGGCTGTGGCTTAAGGACTGCAGGTCCATCCTTGACTACCACAGTAGGAACTGGAACATTAACTGCTCTCAGTGGACAGCCCCATCATCCATACGTAATAGGAGGTCTTGAAAGTTTGGATTTTAAAGGGGGAAATATTTTAAGCTACAAAGGAATAAAATGGGATAAATCCAAATTAAGTAGAATAATAATTCCAGAGTTAGAGAAATTGGCATGAGAATTGTTTCTTGAAAGTTTCTTTTACCCATTTATATTACATGTGTGTGTCATAACTGATGAATTTAAATGGATTCCTAATATGCAATATGTTTTAAAATTTTGATTGTGGGATGCTCGATTTTTATACCTGCTTCTGCAGTTTAGCTGCAGACATATCGCACACAACCTATCCCAGGATAGTTCTATCATACACTCTTGGCACAATGGAAGTGAAAAATGTAAATGACATTATTACAAAAATCATTGTGACCTGATTGATTCTTATAGAAGGTGATCTAGAAATACAACCGAGGAAATGACCATTTAGTAAATCAATTAAATGCAGAATCATTAAACAAAATTCATTGTTTTCATTGGAACAAATTGGACCCCAGATATAAATTACAGTAGAGTTATCAATGTTAAAGTTCATGGTAAAATGCCTTAAAGCTCTGCAGAATGCCACATGCAACCTGCCCCCCCCCAAAGTGGTAAGACGACACCTGCCACTTGTCCTGGAAATCCAGCGGGTCCCCCGTGGCGTGCTACAGCTCTTTCAACTGAGGTGGCTCTTAAAAGAGCCTTTGGGTTCGGTGCTCAGGCGATCCTGAGGCGGCTCACTTGTGGTGAGTGTATCTGACGATGGCCTTGTTGCCCTCGGACACGGCGTGCTTGCCAATTTTCCCCGGCAGCACCAGGCGCACGGCCGTCTGGATCTCTCTGGAGGTGACCGTTGAGCGATGGGTGTAGCGCGCCAGCCGGCCAGCCTCCAGGGCAATGCGCTCAAAGATGTCCTGAACGAACGAATCCATCATGTTCCTGGACTCCTGGGACAGGCTGAGGCCATCGTGGATGTTCTTCAGGACCCTGGGGAAGTAGGTGGAGAAGCTGTCACTGCCCCCAGCGGGGCGGCGGCCGCGATGCTTTGGCTGCTTCTGCGCCTCGGTCGTCGACGATTCGGCCTCTTCAGGCTCCTTGGCGACAGAGCAGGCCTCAGAGGACATCTCAGAAGAAGGTTCGGCCATGGGGGAGACAGCTGTCAGGGGCTCTGGAGAACCGAAGATGGCGCTGTGGCTGTTGGGGACCCATTTGTAGTCGCTGGGTTGATCGACGTCACAGGCCAACTCGCCTTCTGATTGGAGAAAACACCACGTGGGGAGCGTAAGCAAGCCTCGGGGTGCTCAAGGTGATTGGATAGTCCTCCTGGGGTGGGGAATTGCTTCTACCAATCACAGTGGGTGTGTTCTGACCTAGGAGCTTTCTGTTGCCTGGCTCAGGGAAAGTTACCAAGATGCCCCACACAGCAAAAGCTCATCTGACCATATTAGCTAATCGATGCCACACCATAAGCATTTGAAACACATCACCAAAATCTCCTAAAGTGTAGCAATTTTTGCTTCACTTCCTCCAGAACCCAAGTCCATCATACCAGAGAAATGAGCTATGGCCACATTTGGGCCAATCCTCTGAAGCTATTGTTATCCCTGGCTCAGTCACCCTGACTTGAACAGGAACTCACGGCCGTGGCCTGCAGAGTGTTCCTGGAAGGAAAGGGACTGGCTGTCCAGCTCCTGCCTCCAGTTATGATCAAACCCCTCACCGAATCTGGAAGAGGAGAAATGGTAAAATTACAGTCTCCAAACAGAGAACACCAACAAAAAATGTTATATTTGAAAAGTATACTTTCAAAAGTATACTCCCAGCTACTCAGGAGGCTTAGGCAGAAGGATTGCTTGAGCCCCAGCATGAGATGTTACAGGGAGCAGTGCATGCTTTTTCAGCTTTTATTATCTCTATCTATTCATTTTTCTACACTTTACTATGATGTATACAGGCATGTACCCGAATTTAGGGAATTATGGCTTTCCTTAACTCTGGAAAATTCCTAGCTACTTCCTTTTTGAATATTATTCCTCTCCATTTCACCGAATATCTCCTTCGCGAACTTCTGTGAAATGCACTTTATACTTTTTTGATCCAATTCTTAAGTCTTTTCACCTCTATTTAATAACTTCTTTCTAGTTTCCTCTGTGTGAAGTGTTCTGAATAATTTTATTCTTCCATCTTCTAGTACTTCAATCCCCTATGCAGCTGTTTCTAATCTGCTGTTTATAATTTCATTAATCTTCTGTTTCAGTGGTTACAATTTTCATTTCTAAAACATTTATTTGCCTCTTTTCCATAATTAGCTATTTCTTATGCTTTATGTAACTTGTCAAACACATAATATGTCAAACGCATTTCCTAATAGCTTGAAATTGACAGTAAGTCTATATTTGCCTTTTGGTTTACTGGTTGTACTGATAGTGGCTTGTTTTTCCACTATATTCTTGTTTATGAGGATTTTATCTGAGGGAATCTTCATAAAGCCTCAAATCCCTCCAGAAAGAATTAAATTTGTGTTTGTAATATTACTGAGTTCGAAATAAAAAATTAATTGGACTATACTGATAGTATTAATTTGAACCCTAAAGCTAGCCAAGTGCAGGTTTTGGGTGACAAAGGCTCAAAGGAAAAATTTTCCCCACATTCACAGCCAAGGATAGTAAATAGAGGCATCTTTGATATCTCCCTGTTCCACTAGGATAAAGTGCAGTTTTTCATTAAGTTTATAGTTATTCAAACATCCAGGGTTATACAAATGTCTCAGTTGCCTATTAATTTATGCCACTTTTCAAGAAGAACTTAGCATTTAAAATAGTATTTATTATAATTCCTTTAAGTCCTTTAGTATGCTTGCAATTGGAAGTTTTTTACATTTTCTATTCCAAATATTGTCCAAATGAAAGATATTAGAACACTTAAAAATATAAACTAGACTAGGGTCACCCAGTGGTATTCAGTCAATGTCTTAGCTACCCTGCAAGGGTTGAGATAACTTGTACTGACATGCCTGGTGGCTTGGAGTGGGTGGTTGTAGGGCTGGGCTCAGGTGCACTCTGGTCCTTCCCCATAGATTCTCACAGCCTCTCCATATGCTGTCTCCAGAAAGATAAGCAGAGTGTTTACATGCTTGCTTAAGACTCTTAAAAAACTATGCAGATGTCAATAGTCTCCTTTAATTGGCCTAATTTGACTTTAACCACACTACATTTGTCAAAGCAAACATGGGTCTACCCTGTATCAAGAGGAAAGGAAACACATATAACCTCTCAGTAGGAAGAAAATCCAGGAATGAGATGCTTTCTGAATCTGATACATCCCACTACACAACAGTTGAGATGCTGCTGGGTGCCACAAACATGGTAGCCACATGGCGTCCACACAAAAAGTCCTGTGTTCACTGGATCAGAGTGGCAGAGTGGTAGACCCTTGAATGCTTTCACACTTGACTTATCCCTAAAAGGAGGATCTCTCCCATATTGTGGATTCCTATACTCTATGGCAGAGCTAACACTCTGAAGAGACATCCTATCTCAACCATTGATTTCTTGATATGCACAAACAGACATCCAAACAAAATGAAAAACATATGTAGTGAGTACTCGGTGAAAGAAGATGGGCCAGAATCTGGTACTAATGTCTGATCCTCCTGATTTGGGAACACCACTTTAACCATACTTATCATTGACATCTTCTTTCAGAAAATCCTTAACACCTGACACTTTAATTTCAATCCATTCCTCACCATAGTGCCTACAAACGTGCATATGAACAGAGAAATGAGAAACATGAAGTTAGACAGGGACCCAGAGGTTCCTGGTGTGAGGACCCAGAAAGAATGTAGGGAGGATAACATGCAGAAAGAACCTCGATGTCTGCCATTTGACACTATTAAATTTTGGTTAAGGGAAATACATTTGCTCATGTATTTCTATTCAAACCAACTTTCAAAATGGAGCAAATCAATGATGCATTTCCTTTTATTTTAAGGTATTTCCTGTCAAGTTGATGAATTAAGAGAAGCATGATTTCTATTAACTTTTGATAGGCTCTAAAACTCAAAAGCTAACCTCATGTCTGATGGACCGGACAGGAGAGACATATTCAGATGACCTGAGTCCTGGTGTCAAATCTAACCCAGTAGCCTTCTAGCTTTACATAACGTCCTTCAACTCTCTGGGAAGATCCCGAGTGAGAAAGGATTCCGAGTTACTAGAAGGAATAGACTTTATTATACCAGTCCAATTATTATAACAAGCACAGTGATTATACATATTATTACCCCTTAAAACTAAATTCCTCCTGGTGCATGAGAAAATGCCTCTACAAGTAGCAGGTCTACCCAGAGACATATGGTCCCTAACTTCACTCCCTGAGAGCTGATGTTCACCAATACCTCTGTGCAGAAGGACCTTGGAAGCAGAAAAGTTAAATTATGGACATTTTTCAGGATTTCAGAATATTCATGAGGGCAATAGCAGTGGCCTTGACGTGCAGATGGATACTAAGCATATTGTAAGAACTGGATTGATGACCCTGTGGAGAGGAGTCTGGATATCTTTTCACTTCACTAATGTCCTCTTCAGAGTTTGACCAACTTCTGCTTCTGATTCAGGATTTGTTTTCAGAGTCCCCCATAATAAGGAGAAAGAGTAAATGACCACTTGTTCAAGATTCTTCCTCCCCACCCCATCCTCATTCTCCTCATTTCCATGAATGCTGGGGCCATGAACAAAGAGAATAAAGACAGTGATGGATCATGAATGAGAACAAATCCCCCTGTGTTGCACTGGGAGCTGGGTTTTTATCCTGTTAAGTAAATGTAGAGGGTTTTATTTTTTCAGGGACATGTGCTTAGAGGTCAAAAAATATTAAGGAAATGTGAACATTCAAAACTTTGAGGCAGACCACTTGGTGGGGCTTTTGGAATCACTTTAAGTCTCTTAATAGATTTTCACTATTCTCTTATTGATGGAATAGGCTGGAGTAATTTTGACTCATAGCTCTGGATTTATGTACTTAAATCGACATGATCAAAAGTAAGCAAACAATCAGGAAAACAAACTGACAGCAAGAAAAGAAAAACACAAAATATCTCCTTAATCTCCAAGGATGCACACCCAGAAAGATCTTTATTGGTTCAGTTCCTGTCACCTTTGCACCATGGAGCCAATGGCAGTGGATCGGGGCTACAGGTCCTTCATTAGCTGAGACAGTGGCTAATGAGTGTTAGGCTGCTGTCATTGCACACAGCCTTCATCCAGTGATGCATAGTTGCAGGTCAGGAAGTGTTGTGGTTAAACAAAAAAGATTATCACCTGGAAAAGAATAGTACCAGATAAATGTAAATGAGTTAGAATAGTAACTTAATTTTCCAGGGAGCTCTATAGGGGGATTTTTTTCTTGAAGTTTTTGATTCAGGTATTTCTATAATGTGTTTGAATTCCCAGTCATGTCTTTAGATGAATTTCTTCACATAGGATATGTTGAAAAAAATTTTAGGTATGATCGCTCTGTTAATGATATTTTTCCTTAATATGATGCTTATAATTTTCTATTTGGCTTATTAATACCATTTCTCTTAATTCCCCATTTCAGTGTTCCCTTAGTGCCATCTTTGCTCATTTTGCCACTGAAGTGAAGTTGTACTCATTTGTCAGTCTGATCTTCAACATCAAGACCCATTTTTTTCTCTTTTCCCTGGAATTCATTTGTTTCAGTCACCCTTACACTTCCAGTCTGCATACTACAGCCAAATTACGGTGCATTTTAGAAGTTGTTTTTCTACTACTCCCATATACTTTCTGAATTCACAGATTCAAATGTTTAAGCAGCAATAATGCCCAGGATAGAAACTAAGTGACTTAATGAAATGCTGTTTTTTCCCCCTGACTCAAAGTTTTCTCTAGAAAGGCATGTGACTGTGAAAGGAGCCTTTACCTTCCAAAATTTTGTTCTGGATGTATAAGAAAAATGCCAGGTAACACCCAGTGGTATTTTCCTGCAGTTCATGGTAGATGTTTTCAATCATCCTTGTACAGGAAGGGTTTTTTTTTTCAAATTTTTAATAAAATTTTTCTACTATTATAGAATAATAATAACCAATAACTCCAATTAGGTGGCTTATTTGTCCTAAATCCTTACATTATTTATTCCAAGGGGAGCTGTGAAGGTAGAATGTCTTGACACCCTTATCCCACCTTAAACAGAACAAACTTAGAACTTTAGACTTCCTCCTGAATCAGTCATCGGATATGTCCATTTGGGGAAGTTCATGACCTTGGGCAAAGAAACTCTTGAAGCTCAGGTCAGACCAAAGCCATGATGGATGACAACTGGCAGGTGACTGCTCTTCCAGCAGCTGACGATGCAAGTCAGCCCTTGAAGGGGGTTCTGGCTGGTCCACCTACATGTCTATCAAAGCTTCCTCTTAAATTATTCTTTGGCTAGGAATGCAATTATAGGATGACAGTTATTTTCTCTCAGTATTTGCTTGTGGCACACATAGAAAGGTGTGATGTGAAACTACTTGATATCGCTTCAGAGGCATCTGTTGTTCTGTCTGCTATCAAGATCTGTGTTTCATTCATTGTCCTGAAGCTTTACTAGGACGTGTCCAGGTGTGCTTCTGGAATTTAATAAGGCATTTCTTCCCTTAATTCTGGAAATTATCAACCATTTCTCTTTGATTCTTATTTTTCCACAATTCACTAAATTTTCTCCTTCTGAAATACCTCTGAGTTGTACTTTACAGGCTCTTCATGCATTTTTGTGTCTCTTCAAGTCTCTTTCATATTTTCTTCCTTTATATCTAGGAGGCATTCTGTATAATTTCTTTCAACTGTCCACCATGAAATTAATTCTCTATCCACCTGTGTCTAATCAGTTGTTTAAAATTACACAGATCTATCTTCCAGTGATTAATAGTTTCATTGGTAGACATTTTATTTGACTGTCTCTGTTATTTACTCATTTCTTTCCTATGTCTTTTTTTAGTCGCTTATTTTTTTAACCAAGTTATACACTGCTTTCAGTAGTTTGCATCTCATAGTAAGTCATTTGAATTTCACATCTTGGTTTACTGTTTTTCCTCAGAATAGCTTTTTGGGATTCTGAACATGTTTGGCGTGCTTTATTTTTCTGGAAATCTCTTTAAAGCCTCACTTGAGCGTATGCCCTTCCAGAAAGGACAGTACTTGCCTTTGCCTCATGTCTTAGTTTTCTACCCTAATTAATTGGACCATATGGATAGTGTTAATATGAACCCCAAAGCTACACAAAAAAGTCCAGCTATGTACTAAAGTTGCTGTCTATTCAAGAGTCTAGAGTAATTCAGTGGTCTATTGATTGCCAGTGGTCTCAGTGGTCTGTTGATTGCCATGACTTTTCAGGCACAGCTTAGCATTTAAAATAATATTTGTAATAATTTGGCCAATTAGTTTTTTAGGATTGAATTGGAGGACTTTCATTTTTTTCCCAAATACTCCCTGAGAATTGTAATAGACCCTTACAAATATAAAGAAGGCTAGGGTAATTCAGTGGTATACAGCTGACGGATAAGCTATTCTCCAACGTTTGGGAACAATTTTCACTCACATTCCTATTGTGTGGGAAGGGCTGGTTGGAGGGCTGGGCTAAGCTGGGCCCCTGTATCAGTTTATAACTCTCAGAGCCTCTCCAGGAGGTGTGTCAGGGAAGATAGGCAAACTTCTGACATGGCAGCTCAGAGCTCTCAAATAGCAAAGCAGAAGATACCAGTCCTCTTAAGTGTAGCTCTGGGACAGTCTCAACATCACTTCCACCATTTTTCATGGGTTAAAGCTATCACAAGCCAGCCCCAATCAAGAGGAGTAGGAAATGGAGGTGGCCACTCAATCAGAGTTGTGGCCAGGAGTGAGCAACCTTCCTGCACCACAGACTCAATACTTTCTGAGATGCAGTTGGGTGCCCCGTACATAGTGCTTCCATACTAAAATGTACTATTCATTGTGCCAGAGTAGGAGACTCTGGAATGGTTTTACACTTGCCTGATGCCTAGCAATGTATCTTCTCTAATTTGGGGATCCCTATACCCTAAGACAGAAGTTTATCCCTGAAGTGGCATGAAGGTTCTAACTATTACAGGCATGCCTTCCCACATGTGAGTGCCTGGATTAGAGAAACAGACAAACAGACAAAAAACGGAATGTATGGAGTGTGTGCTTGTTAAAAGGACCTGGGTCAGAACCTGGTCCCATTTTATGACCCCCCTGACTTAAGGCAACCAACTTTTCCCATATTCCCCTTCTTCAGCAGTCATCAAACACCTGGTACTTCCATCCCAATTCATCCTTCTTCATTGTGCCTACAAAAATGCATATCCACAGCCTCATGAATGGAGGAGGTTGGAGCCACAGAAAGAATGTAGAGATAGGAAAAATCAGAAGCATTCCCTGGTGTCTGCCATTCCACACTGTGTGTATTTCCCTAAGGAAACACTTGCTATTGTATTCCTTTTTTTGGCTTTCAAAAGTCCAGTTTATTTGGTTATATTTTAACTTATTATTGTGAAATAGGTATTCCTTTTTGAATCAGTTCCCTAGTGCAGATTGAGCTGGGTGAAGCACCTCAGTGCTGCATTTCCTGTTATGTTATTTCCTGCCCTGTAGGATAAAACACAGAAGCATTGCTTCTATAAGGCTTTAATAGGCTAAAACATGCCCAGGCAAATACAATGTCTCATTCACCAGACACTACAGTGACATTCAGAAAAAATCAACCTGTGCCCTGTGATCAGGTCTAACAGGAAAACCTGTGGGACCTTGGTTAAGATCATTTACCTCTCTTGAAGAATCCCATCTGCAAAAGGACTCTGGGTTGCTAGAATGCATGGAATTCACTATACTACTCCAATTAATTTAGCAAGCACAGTAGTGATATGTATCGATTATTAAAACACACTTCCCAGTGGTGCATGACTAAATACCTGGTCAAGCATCAGGTCTACCCAAAGCTATATGGTCCCTGCCTAATTTCATCTCCCAGGGGCTGACATTTTTCACACTCTCCCCTGTGAAGGTCGATCTAGAATGAAGAGGTAGTGTCATTATGGACAGGTTGCAGGATTTTGGAAGGATCATGGGTCAACACTAGAGGCCATAAAGGGCAGGACTGGCCTGTCAAATCCCTCTGATAGAAACAGGGCAGCATGCAAGGACTGGACAGATGACCTGGTGAAGAGGAGCCCAGGTGCTCTCACATTGCACTAATGTCCTCCTGAGAGACCCACCAAAAGGAGACTGTGATCCTAGATTTTTTAAACAGTTCCCTCCTAATAAAGAAAAAGAGTAAATGATACCTTTTAAGCTCCCTCCTCCCCTGCCACAGACAGAGTCATTCTCTTCTTATCCAGGGGTGCTGGGCCGTGATTAAAGAAGAGGTGGGCAGTGAGGGTTCAGGTATGAGGACCAATCCCATGGTATTGGCCATTGAACTGGGAACTGGGTTTTCATTCTCCCAAGTTAATATGGTGGGTGTTTCTCTGTCAGGCACATTTACTTGGCTATGAAAAAATAAAATATTTCAAAATACAAATAGCCTAAAGAAAAAGGCAGGGGAGAAAAGGGGTTACCTTATTTCTCATAATAGATCACTACATTTTTCTAAATATGATGTAACAGGCAAGAGTTAAGTCCACTAACAGCTCTAGATACATGTCCTTAAGTCATCACAATGAAAAGGAAAGAAACAACTTGAAAAATAAACAGGCTTGGCAATGACTTTTTGGAAATCACACCAAAAGCACAGGCAACAAAAACACACGTAAACAAGTAGGCTGACATGAAATGGGAAAAGTTCTGCACAGCAAAGGAAACCACATCAAAAGGCCGTCTTTCTGGGAGTGAATATTTGCAAACCATATATCTGATACAGCGTTAATATCTACAATATGTAAGAAATCCGCACAATGGACTAGCCATGGACAGAAAAGAAATATCACGATGAAAACATGGAGGACATAAACAGATATTTCTTCAAAGACATGCAAATGACCAATAGATATATGAAAAGGGGTTGCTATGATTTGAATATTTGTACCCTGCAGAATTCATATTGAAATTTAACAACCAATGCAATAATATGGTCAGTCTAAATAATAAATAGAGAGAGACTCTAAAAGAAAACAATAGTTGGGGACCCAGGCATTGTAATGGGAAGATATGCACCAAGACATGCACTATGTGGCTATGGAGGGAGGTAAAGATAGACAAAGGGTTTTAAAGGAAAAATGAGGAGGATTCCATTATTGTTTTGAGATGATTGTCCTTGGCTACAAGGGTCAATAACAAAGGTGACACTAGTACAAGATTGGTGAGGCATTTACTGGGCACATGTCCTCACAGAAGCATTTTTGTGTATATTTTCTCTGGCTTTTGTGAGAGTTCGTGGGTTTAGCAGTCTTTTCTGATAGTTTGTATTATCAGGGATTTTTGCCTGCAGTTTTTTGTGTAGTCTTCCCTGGCTCTATTTGTCAGGATTTTTTTCAACACAAGTGACTCCATTTTGATTTTCATAACTTTCACCCTATGAAGAGGTCAGGACTTTAGGAGGTGATTGGGTCATGTAGGCACCTTTGTTATGAATGAGATAAAGGCCCTTAAAAAGATGCTTCACTCAGCATTCATCCCTTTTTGTCCTTCTGTCCCTTTCCCCATGTGAGGACACAGCATTAATCCCCTCTGGAGGATGCAGCAACAAGGCACTATCTTGGAAGGAAAGGGGAGCCCTCACCAAACATGGAACCTGCCTGCACCTTGATCTTGGACTTCCCAGCTTCCAGAAATGTTAGAGATAAATTTCTCTTGCTTATCAATTACTCAGTCTGTGGCACATTGTTATAGCAGCACAAATGGCCTAAGGCAGTGCTCAACATCACTGATCGTCAGGGAATTGCACATCACACACACAATGAGATATCACCTCACACCTGTTGGGATGGCTATTATTTAAAAGTTAGTGATAACAGCTGATGGCGAGGCCTTGGAGAAAAGGGAACCCTTGCTCACTATCGATGTGAATATAAATTAGTGCACACATTATGGAAAAGAGAACGGAGGTTACTCAAAAATTAAATATGCAACTATCATATGACCCACAAATCTCACTTCTGGGTATATACTGAAGGAAATGAAATTAGTACATTAAAGTGATGTGTGCACTCCCATGTTCATTGTTACATTATTACCAATGCCAACCTCAGTGTCCATAGACAGATGAATTGATGAAGAAATTGTGATGCTTATATCTATATATACCTACATATATAGATATAGAAACACATACTATAATAGTATTCAGCTTTAGAAAAGGAGATACTCCCATTTATGTCAACATGGATGGATTTAAAAGACATTATGCTAAGTGCAGCAAGCCATTCAGAGAAGGAAAAATACTGCATGATCTCACTGATATGTGAAGTTCAAAAAAAATTGTCAAATACACATAGTGGAATGATGGTTACAAGACGTGGGGAGGGGGAGAAAAAGAGGAGATGTATGTTAAGAAGTACAAACGTGAAATTATGCTAGATAAATCAGTTTAGACATACAATGTATGGAGGACCATAAAAATATTGTGTTATACATTAATAATTTGTAATAGAATAGATTTTAGGTACTCTTATCATACACACACATACACACAGGTAAATATTCAAGGTAGTAGATATGTTACATTTCTCACTAATAGTATTTACTCTGGTGTGCATATGTATATCCAAAACATCATGTTGCAACCCTTAAATTTATACAATAAAAAATTACAAGATACAAACCTGGGCAACATAGCAATACCCTCTCTCTACAAAAATTAATAATAAAAAAAAATTAGCCCGACATTATGGCTGGTGCCTGTACTACTAACTACTCCGGAGGCTAAGCCAAGAAGATCGCTAGAGCCCAGGGGTTTGAGGCTGCAGTGAGCTATGATTGGGCCACTGCGCTCTAGCCCAGGTGACAGTGCCATAACCTGTCTCAAAAACATAAGCAAATGCACACAAAAAACGTACGAAAAGAAACACACCAATATCCTATTCACAGGAATAGGAGGGCAGGGTAGGGTGACCAGGAAGGCTCTTATTGGCTCATCCATGGTCATCTCCATACACTGTGAGGCAATCGCTGTGGCTCTGGCGCTGCGGGTCCTTCACTGGCTGAGGCAGTTGAGAGCGGAGTTCGGTTTCCTCTCATTGGATGCTCCCATCATCCCAGTGATGCATACTCACAGGTCATGAAGTTTCACGTTTTATAAAATTCAAGGTTAGCCTGGAAGAAATAAGAATCAGCTAAATGGGAATGTCTTTCAACAGTAATTTGAGTGTCTGTGTACCTTAACATAGGTATTGGTTCTCAAAATTTATGATTTAGGGATTTCTGTTTTGTGTTTATGTTTAAGAGTATGTATTCATATGAATTCCTTAATATAGATCAACTTGAAAAATTGAATGGAATATATCCCCTATATTAAGACAAGTTTCCCCAGTTTGATTCCTATAATTTGTTATTACAGCAGTAAAGCCATTTCTCTTATTTGGTTTTGTCAGTATAACACAAGATTAGATGACAAACAGCCACTTATTACTTATTCTCCTCATTCACCCACCAAGGGTATCATTCATTATATTCATTTCCCCTTATCTTCTTGAACATCAAACTCCATTTTCCTCTCATCACTGCCAGCAAGCCAGGCCCCCCCCATAGTTCATTGCACCACCCAATTGTTGTGTGCTTTTAAAGTCATTTCCCAAGTGCACTCATTTGCTTTCAGAATTTACAGATGCAAACTGCAATAAAAAGGTCCTAATTGATTTGATATGTTAAAATGAGTTCTCACATAACACAATATGCATGAGATTGGTATGCAAGAATAATGGTGGAAAAAACACATATATTGGCAATCACTAGCATTTTGAAGCACCAACAATGAACATTATATAAATTAAGTGATTTAGCGAAATGCAGTTTTTGTGACCTAGTCTGTAGTCCTAAAGCCTCACAGCTTACAAAAATGCCTTTGCCTTCCTACATTTTGTTCCAAATGTGTAAAACATTCTGGAGCCATCTCTCCCCTGAAGGATTTACTTGCTCTTGATTTCATGATAGATTTTCTCTCTCTCCAGGTATAGCAAAGCTCTTTTTCTTCAAAAGCTTTTACAAAATTTTTCTAATATGACAAAGCAACAATACAATAATCCTAATCAAGGGACTCATTTGTCCCAAATTCTAGCTATAATGAACCAAGGAGAGCTCTGGAGGAATCAAAATTATTTGATTATTTTGGGGTACAGCAACCCACCAGGGTCCTAGGCATTGAACAAAAACACTTTTTAATACTAACCAGAACTTTATTTTCTCTCCTTCATCCAAAATAGGCACCATTCCCGCCTGCACTACTGAGGGAAGCTCTCTCCAGCCTCCTGCACTGCCCCCATTCTTTCCTTTTAGCACCTGCTGCTCTGAAAAAGGTGAAATAGTCTGTGCTTTGGGGCTCCCCTTGGAAGTTCTTTAAATGCTTCTATGGGCTCAAGAAAACATTTGACTTTTGGAAATTGTCCATTGTCTGTCCCATTTTGGGCTGATAATGACATTATTTACAGGTTTCTACATCCTTATAAAAGGATTAGTCCAACTTATTTTAAAAGGGTGAGTGGAATACTTGACAAAATTTACAAAATGTTGGGCTTTAAAGCAAATAATAACAAATTTTAAGAATGCATTTGTGAAGTATATTCTTTTTCATATAGCTAAAAAGCTAGAAATAAATTTTTAAAAAGGAGATTTTCCAACTCTTTTAAATTAAACAATACATATACATAAGAAGAAACCAACATAAACCATTAGGGCCCCCCCAAAGAAATTCAATGGAAAGCAGAAAGTATTAGCATTAACATAAATATTAACATCCAAATCACATGAGCAAACAGGAGTCATCCTACTTCTCTTAATTGCTGATCTTCCTCTTCTGAGTTGATGCAAGGAGCAAGAGGTATGTCCTGATCCCAGCTCTTGAATTATATTTTTAAATCACCGTGAAGGTAAAAAAAAAAAAAAAAAAAAAAGAAAAGAAAAGAAAAGAAAAGAAAAGAAAAAAGGTAGGCCAACAGCCACAGAGAAAGAATTCACCCTCTTTCTCAACAACCTCTAGGTTAAATTGCACGGGAAGCCTCGTACTGCTTTAGCCCCAGCAACAGTCCCACCTTTTGGGCAAATTGCCCTGGTTCAGAGGCTGCAGGTGTCTCATTGGCTGAGCCTCCAGAAATTGGGACTTTGGCGCTTCTTGGACAGTTCCATCATGCATGAATAATTACATGTCAATTATGTTTTTGTTTTAACACACTAAGTGCCATATGAGTTGTATTTAACGCATGCTAGTCTCGTACCTTGGGGGCTTGGGAAGAAAAACCTGGGCAAAACTCTGCAGTAGGTTCCTGAAAATTTTACTTGTTCATGTTCTTATTGTTACAAGTAATATTGAGAAATTAATTCTAACAATATGGACTAAACGACATAGAAGTTAATAAATTTCATTCTTTATTCAGTTAGAAAGGATCATTTTGCTTTTGAAGTTTTTATTCTATTTTCATAATAAAGCGCCTTGGCTCCAGGGGAAAAAAAGTTTTTTTCTAGTGTGATATTAAATGGGTTAAAAGAAGAAAGATTTCAGGCTCGAGAAGAAAAGAATCAGAGAAATCTGAGAGAATTAGGATATTAATGTCAGCATTTAGGGAGCTTGAAACGGTAATTATTATTCACTTCCACATTCGAATGAATCTCTAAGATGGGGTGTGTTGAAGAACGGTTAGGTCAGGATATGGGTGACTTCGCTATCTGTCACTATCTGTCTGAAGCCCGTTATCTCTGCTATATCACCACACGAAGCACCCTGGGAAATTCGGTCATACATGGGCAGGACGGCGCTGGACACGCCCCACATCGGGGAGGACGCCAACTGCCATCTGCCCCCGAACTCCACGAGCCCGTGGCGTGCTACCAGCCCTTTCGGGACAAGTGAGGTGGCTCTTAAAAGAGCCTTGGGTTCGTGCTCAGCGATCTGAGGCGGTCACTCTGCGGCGACTGTATCTGGCCAGGGCCTTGGTGCCCTCGGACACGGCGTGCTTGCCGATTTCCCGGGCAGAATGAGCGCGCGGCCGTTGGATCTCTTTGGACGTGATGGTCGCGCGCTTGGTGTAGCGCGCCAGCCGCCGGCTCCTCAGCGATGCGCTCGAGAGTGTGGACGACGAAGTCTCCACGCTCACGCCTCCTGGACAGGCTGAGGCCGTCGTGGACGTTCTTCAGGACCCTGGGGAAGTAGGTGGCGAAGCTGTCCGCGGCCCGGCCGGACGGCGGCCCGACGCCTTGGCTGCTGCTTCTTCTGGGTCGTCGTCGTCGATTCAGCCTCTTCAGGCTCCTTGGTGACCGACCAGGCGTCGGAGGACATCTCAGACGAAGGCTCAGCCATGGCGGAGACAACTGTCACGGGCTCTGGAGAACCGAATGTGGCGGTTTCTGGCCGTTGGGGACCCGTTTTTATGGACCTCGCTTCCCTACGTCACGGGCCATCGCGCCACCTGACTGGATGAAAAGTCACGGGGTGATCCTGTCAACCAACCGCAGAGCCCTCAAGGTGATTGGGTAGTCCTCCTGGGGGGCATCGCATCCACCAATCACAATTGGCGTGTGTGGACCTATGGGCTTCCTGTTGTGTGATTCGGAGAAAGGTAGTATGGTGCCCTACAGGGCAAAAGGTCATCTGACCAGATGAGCTGATTGACGCTACACTACAAGCTTCTGAAAAGACATCCCTGGAAGCTCCTAAAGTGTGATAGTTTTAGCTTCACTTCCTTCAGAGTCTGCCCTCCGGAACCCAAGTCCATCATACCAGAGATATGAACTATGGACACGTTTGGTCCATTCCTCAGAGTCTTTTGTTATCCCTGGCTAAGTCACCCTGACTTGAACAGGAACTCACAGCCGTGGCCTGCAGAGTGCACCTGGAAGGAAAGGGACTGGCTGTCCAGCTCCTGCCTCCAGTTATGATCAAACCCCTCACTGAATCTGGAAGAGGAGAAATGGCAAAATTACAGTCTCCAAATAGAGAACACCAACAAAATTTGTTATATATGAAAAGTATAAAAGAACATTCAAAATTTACCACGTTTAATACTGTATTCTTAACAACAGTTAGCTCCTAAAAATTGCCCTATGTGTTAGAAACAGTGAATACACATTAGAGCTGTTGCAATTTTAAAAATTCCTAAATTCTTATAAAACTATTTCTAAAAGAAACCTTATCAGGAAAAAGGAAAAGGGGTCTCAATAATATGGAAATATTTAAAAGTTATTAGAATCTATGCTAATATGTACAGTAACATTTCCTCAATGTTTTTATGTAAAAACAAATTGCAGAAGTTGGCTCCCAAAAAGACTTATAAATTTGAGTATTAATAATAATTGATAGAATGGAGAACACCAATGACCTGTCATCCAAAATGGTGAGGATTCCAATGGTGTTTTACATTAGACATTTAAAAACCAGCTAATTCTACTGATAACAAAAAATGCCTAATAACAAAATGAGCCCAGATTATGAGGAGAAAGATGTAATTTTTATTTTAAAATATGATTAAAAAAAACTAGTGAAGAAATCACAAACAAATAGAGTGTTGATATCACTTAACTCCCATTAGAATGGCCTATATCAAAAAGTCCCCAAACAACAAATGGTGGCGTGGATGTGGAGAGATTGGAACATTCTTACATTGCTGGTGGGACTGCAAATTAGTACAACCCCTGTGGAATGTAATTTGGAGATACCTCAAAGAGCTAAAAATGAAAATACCATTGAATCCAGCAATCCTACTAGTAGGCATCTACCCCAAGGAAAAAAAGACATTCTATAATAAAGACATCTGCATTTGAATCCGAATTCACAATTCACAATCACAAAGAAGTGGAAACAACCCAAGTGCCCATCAATACATGAGTGGATTAATAAATGTGGTATATGTATACCATGGAGTTCTAGTCAATTACAAAAAATAATCATGAACTAGCACCTCTTATATTATCCTGGATAGAGCTTGAGCCCATCCTTTGAAGTGAGGTATCACAAAGAATGGAAAATCATACACCATATGTACTAGCCATCAAATTGGTGTTAGAGGCAAGGACCCTCAAAGACCCTCAACTCCCCTATGACTCGTCCTATGCACGGACTTCGCCCTGGAAAATTCCAGCTATAGCTCCGAGAAGAATGCAGTCCATGACGCGCTGACCACGGAATGCTCCAGGATGTGTTGACTGCAAATGTTCCGGTTGGAGATGAGTAATCAGTCAAAAACAGGATACTGATAAGACACTGATTAGGGCTAATCAACCCAGACCCAAGCCTCATCGTCACCACTCTATTTTTTGTTTTGACTTCCTTGTTTTTGTATGTTTATAAAAGCCACTAAAAATCTAAGTAAAGCAGACCTTGACAACCATTTGCTTGGTCTCGTTTCTCTCTCTCGCTCATCTCTTTCAGGCACGGTCCCCCTCGCCCCCGCGAGTAACAGAAGGTCCCGCGGGCCGGGACAAATTGGTACTAATGGATCAACACTAATGTGCTCACATGGTAGTAATATTCATTGGGTGCCGGTCAGGTGGAGGGGGGTGGGAGTGTAAACTCACAACTAATGGGGGCTGAGAACACTGTATGGGGGAAGGGCACACTTGTAGCCCTGGCTTGGGTGAGGCAAAGCCATTACATATAACCAAAATATATGTACCTCCATAATATCCTGAAATTAAAAAAGGAAAAGTGCCACTTGCAAATAAGGATATAAACATCCCACTTGAAATATTAGCAATGAAATCCTTCTCAATTTGAGGCAAGGATAGAAAAGACATGTTCTGCCCCTGGCCACACATAGAAAAAGTCAGCCGACCACATCATCTGATTGATGAAACACCATGAAAACGTTGATGAGAAGCCACCAAAACAACCTGAAGTGTAGAAATTTCAACTTTGCCTGTGTAAGACAGCTTGACCTTCATAATCCATGTGCATTATGCCAGGTGAATGACTCAGGCCATGTTGGGCCATTGCTCCTTTTTTTTTATATATAGAATAGTATAAATGTTTATTTTCTGTATGATTTACTTTGCTGTCCTGTTTTTACAATATAGAAAAGTGTATTCTTTGAATAGCTCTAGTAAATATAAATTTAATCTTTCTACTTTGGGATGTAAATAGAGCTAAAAAATTATATACCCAACCCTCCCCCAAATAGTCTTTTAAAATCGTTGAATTA